AGATAATATGAGCAGCTCTGAGAAGTCAGAGATGTAATTCTGAACTTTAAGTCTGAACTAGCTGAAAGTTCTTTTTCATTGTATACACACAGAAAGAGAAAAAGACAGAGAATGTTCAAGTTATCAGCTACATTTGAGTTTTAACTTTGAAAAAGAATTAGTTATAAGAAAACTATGACTAATCACAAAGAAAGTTAAAAAATTACATACGAATAGGAAAAGTACTAGCAAAGCTGGTATGTTGCTGCTGTTGTTATGTGCAATCAAGTTGCCTATGACTCAGTAATCTTATGTACAATAGCTTTGAACCTGCCCTATCCTGACTCTGACATGCCTTATACCCATTACCCCAGTTACTGTAGCAATCTATCTTTACCCAGGGTTTTCCTCTCCTGCACTGTCCCTCCACTCTTCCAAGAATGAGGTCCTTCTTCAAGGACTGGTCCCTCCTGGCCACATGCTCAAAGTATGTGAGACAGAGCTTCAAAACCCTTGCCACCAAGAAATGGTTTCACTTTCTCCAAGTCTTTGTTCTCTTAATAGTTCATTGTATGTTCAATACTCTTCTCCAGTACCACAACACAAAAGTACTGATTCCTGTTCTGTCATCTTTAGTCATTGTCCAGCTCTCTGATGCATAGCAAGTAATTGCAAAGACCATGGCCTGGATTAGGAACACCTTAGTCCCTAGACTGTCACCATTGTTCTTTAGAACTTTGGAGTGGTCCCTGACAGCAGACTTTCCAAAGCAACTAAGTCATCTTTTGATTTCCCGACTTCTGATGCCAAAAATGTTGATTGTGGAGCCAAGCAAACAGAACTTGTTAACAATCTCATTTTTTTTCTCCACCCATCATGGTGCTGCCACTTGGCCCAGTGGTGAGAAATCTTTGTCTTCTTGATGTTGAGCTTCAATCCATATTGAAAAGTATAGTCTTTGACTTTCAGCAATAAGTGCTTTAGGTCCTCCTCAGTTTCAGCAAACAAGGTTGTATCATCTGCATAACACAGTTGTTGATGATTCTTCTTCCAATCCTGATGCCACCTTCCTCCTCACAAAGCCCAGCCTTCCGAATGATCTGTTCTGCATATACACAGAAAAGGTATGGAGACAGTATTCTTTCCTAATACATCCTTTCCTGATTTTGAACCATACAGTGTTTCCCTGCGCTGTACTGAGGACTGCTTCCTGATTCAAGTATAGGTTTTGCACGAGCACAATCAAGTGTTCTTGGATTTCCATTCTTCTCAAGGTTAGCCACAATTTGTTGTGATCCACACAGCCAAATGTCTTTGCATTGTCAATAAAGCGTAGATATACATTCCTATGGTACTTTTTGCTTTTTAGCCAAGATCCATCTGACATTGGCAATAATGTCTCTAGTGCCACGGCCTCTTCTAAACCCAGCTTGCATTTCTGGTATTTATCTGTTGATGTACTGTTCCAGTCATTTTTTAATAATCTTCAGCAGGATTTTGTTTGAGTGTGATATTAATGGTATTGTTGTTGTTATGTGCCGTCGAGTCGCTTGCAACTCATAGCGACCCTATGTACAACAGCCCTAAATTGCTCTGTCCTGTGCCAATCGCACTGTCTCCGACACACCTATCCCGATTTCCCCAGTCACTGAATCAATCCATCTCATAGAGGGCTTTCTTCTCCTTTGCTGTCCATCTACCTTCCCAAGCATGATGTCCCTCTCCAAGGACCGGTCCCTCCTTATAACACGTCCAAAGTATGTTAGACAGAGCCTCAGAATCCTTGCCTCCAAGGAGCCACCCATTTTAACCCTCTCCAGGATAAATCTGTTTGTTTTCCTAGCAGTCCATGGTACCCTCAACACTCTTTTCCAGCACCACAGTTCAAAGTCTTTTATTTTCCTGGCTACTGGTGCCA